CTTATACCCTGACTGCCCTGTCCACACCCCCCCCCAATTCAACATGAGCCCTCGTTGTGTGCCAGACACTCTGCTAAGTGCTGAGATAGTCAATGAACAAGAAAGACAAAGATCCCTGCTCAAGTGGAGCCAACATCCTACTAGAGGAAGAAGGGCCATGAACAACAAAAATGAGTCAATTACATATGCTTTGGGTTAAAAATTAAAAGCAGGACACAGTAAGGAGTATGCGAATGGTAATGAGTATTACAATTTTAAGTAGTAGTTAGGAAAGGTCCCATGGAGAAAGATTTGAAGGAGATGAAGGAGGGAACGATGTGGATAATTGGATGAGAATGACCCAGGCAGAGGGAACAGCCATTGCAAAGGTCCTGGGGCCAGAACAAGAGTTTGAACTGTTCACTGAACCAAAAGGAGGTGAGTGTAGCAGAAACACTGGGAGTGAGGGGGAAGTCACGAGAGATTGGGCTCAAACTGTGAGGGCTTCTTGGACTAATATGAGGACTTTGGCCCTTATTCAGAGCGAGCTGGGAACCGTGGGGAGGTTTTGAGCCCCTATAACAGGGTCGACTTAAATGCTTAGTAAATACAGAGTCTCCCAAAAGTCTGGGTGCAGTTTTAAGTTGCAATAACCTCAGAAGTAAATATGCCACAAACTTAACAAAAGACATCATTTGAAATTTTGATAAATTCAGTTTCTTTGATGCTTATGTAGCTTTGTGAATTTTGAATGACATTTTTCATTTTAATTTCATACAGTCAGGGCTTACCATCTTCAATCAGAGGGGCAAAAACAAAGAATTCAAACTTGAAATGTAGTATTCAAAAATTGCAAAACTACATACGTGTCAGAGAAAGTTCGTTTTCAAACCATTGGTAAGTGTGTAGCATTGATGTTGGTGAAGTTGTTCAATTTCAAAGCCGCACCAAGATAGGCTGGGATACCTGGTTATTGGCTGAATGAGTGGATGAACCAGGAGGTTAGTAGCCCATGAAGCCACTGACCCCTCCCAGCTATCTTCTCTGTGTACCTCTTTCACCCCCTCTTGTATGACACCCAGGAGCTTCCACTATGCCTGCATCTGCCCTGCCTCGGACAGGTAGTGACTCCATGTTGCTAAAGGTGCCCGTTCCCCTGGGGTCCATTGCTGACAGCCTCAGGGCCTCTGATGGGCAGCTTCATGCCAAGGCACCAACCAAGCCACCTCGAACATCCTCACTGATGCTGCCTGATGCCTCTGGATGCCCCCCAACGTACTGTGAGCTGGTGCCCCGAGTGCCCAGGGTCCAGGGAACACCTGCTGGCCACAGCTGTCCAGAGCCAGAGGCACCATGGTGGGAGGCTGAGGAGGAGGACGGATGTTTTGCAAGACCGCAGGCAGAGGTCTCTTTCTGCCCACCTGACAACCCCTTCTGCCTGCTGGGCTCCCAGAATCGGCCTCTGGAAACTGAAGTCCTGCATACTCTCCATGGCCTGTTCCTGGAGCACCATCCTGGGAGCACCGCTCTCCACCTGCTATTGGTGGATTGCCAGGTGGGTCACCTACAGAGGTTTTTCCTCCCCAGGCAGGGGCTGAAGCCAGGACAAGGGCCAACCCCACCTCACATCTGTATACTCACCCTGCTCCCTTGACTTCTCTACTCTTACCCTGGCCCCCCATCGCCAGGCGACTGGCCTCCTGGGATTGACCAAGGCTCAGCGGGGCGCTATGGGGGTCGCCTCTGGTCTGGAGCTGCTCACACTTCCCCATGGGCATCGCTTGAGGTTGGAACTGCTGGAGAGGTGAGCCAGCCACCTGGAATCCCTAGGGTCTCCAAATCTCCCCATTCACGGTCCCCTAGGGAGGTGGGGCATGGGCAATGCCACCGACTGTCCCTCCTCACCCCCGCATTGCAAACCTCCCCACTGCCCCCAGACCCTTGCCTTCCGCCTCCACAGGCTCGAGACGCTGGCACTGGCGGGGGCGCTGGCAGTGCTGGGCTGCGCAGGGCCGCTGGAGGAGCGCGCGGCCGCCCTGAGGGGCCTGGTGGAGCTGGCCCTGGCGCTGCGGCCAGGGGCGGCGGGAGACCTGCCCGGACTGGCCGCGGTCATGGGCGCCTTGCTCATGCCCCAGGTGCGTGGGAAGCGGGGATGGGGAGGAGGCCGAGAGCAAGTGATGGGAAAAAGTGGAGAGGAGGCGGGCTCAGCTCTCTTCCTCCAGGTGTCGCGGTTGGAACGCACGTGGCGCCAGCTGCGAAGGAGCCACACCGAGGCTGCGCTGGCCTTCGAGCAGGAGCTGAAGCCACTGATGCGGGCGCTGGATGAGGGCGCCGGTGAGTGGCATCTTTCGATGAGTGGTAACTAAGCGGAATCCCAATCCGGTCCTAAGCCCCGCCCGGGTCTTAGGTCCCCGCCCCTGCTTCTCTCCTAAGCCACGCCCCCTGCCCTAGGCCCGGCCCCTGATTCACATCCAGCTCTATGCTAGGCTCTGGCCTCTGGGTCTCGTGCCAAACCCCGCCCCTTCCTTCTGTCCTAGGCTCCACCTTGGCCTTACATTCCGCCCGTTGTTTCGGTCCTAGGCTCCGCCCCTTAAGCAAGGCTCCGCCCTCCTCGCCCTAACCCCCGCCCTCTGTGCGAGTCTCGGTCGGGAACTAATCCCTAGGCCCCGCCCTCACTCTGTCCCAGGCTCCGCCCCTGCCCTAGGCCACTCCCCGGTCCTGCTCTGGGCCAGGCTCAAGCCTCTGTTTCTGACCCAGACCCCAACCATTGCTTTGTCCTAGGGTGCCTCGGCCCAATGTATGTCGCACCCGTTTCACCCTAGGACCCGCCCTCTGCCCCTAGCCCAGCCCAGACCCTTCCCCAACAGGACCCTGCGACCCGGGGGAGGTGGCGTTGCCGCACGTGGCGCCCGCGGTGCGCCTGCTGGAGGGCGAGGAACTCCCCGGGCCCCTGGACGAGAGCTGCGAGCGGCTGCTGCGCACCCTGCACCGGGCGCGTTTGCTGGCCCGGGACGCGCCCAGATTCCGCGAGGCGGCGGCTCGGCGCCTGCGAGGTGAGCGCCTCCTCTGCGCCGGGTTGCCAGAGGGTCCCGGAACACCCCTCATGCTCCAACTCGGTGCCCCCAAACCCACCGGGCCAGGGACTAGAGCCTCCCACCACGCCTCCCAGAGCCCCACCCAAACTGGGACGGCCCGGCCCCACGGGGTTCTCAACCTAACACGCGCCGCAACCTGCAGTGTAGACGGAAACACTGCCCCCAAAGGGCGGCCCAGCCCCCCAGAGCCACGCCCACAGGGCCCAACTCCCACTCTTCCACCTGGCAAGGCCCTGCGCCTAGAGGATCTCGATCCGCCACCAAGAATGCCCAGCTCCCTCCTAAATGACTCAGACCTTCAACCTGGTAGAATAGAACGGCGCCCCCGCAGAGCTCAGAGCCACACCCCTCTCCTGCCCTGGGGCAGACCAGCCTCCAGGATCCCCGACCTGGGTCGTCCCTGCCTTCACTGGTGACCTTAGCCCCCCTGTCCCTCCAACATGGGCCAACCTCCTCCCCCCCCAAGTTTGTCGCGAAGGACGGCCCGGACCCCAAATCCCACCCTCGGGCGTGGCTCCATCTCCAGGCACAACCCCTAAAGTGGGTCCCCCAGGATCTCGCCCCAGGAACAGACTGCCCCGGTGCACCCACCGAGCCCCTCAGCCACCCCGCCCCCACTGCTGCAGACTCAGGAGCCCCCTCCCGGCTAACCCTACCCAGATGTCCAGGTAATCTCAGGCTGAGTCCCTCCGGGGTCAAAGTCCCGAGGGAACAAGGCAGTTGTGGGAGGGGCAAGGCAGTTGCCTGGGCCCTGCCCCCAGCCCCACCTGGCCCCGCCCCCAGGTTTCCGGCCCCACCCGGAGCTGAGAGAGGCCCTGACCACTGGTTTCTTGAGGAGGCTGCTCTGGGGGAGCCAAGGAGCTGGGGCGCCGTGGGCCACACGTCTTGAGAAGTTCCAGCGCGTCCTCACCGTCCTGTCGCAGCGCCTGGAGCCTGACCATTGAGGGCACAGACCGCCCCCATCTTCACGCTGGGATACCAAGGCTTCCATGGAGACCAAGGAAGCCGCCCAAGCTTCCGCACACAGCCAAATGCAGTGGGGACCTGCACCCTGCCTCACAGGAGGGGACCTGGTTTGCAAGAACCCACCCTGTGCCCTAAAAAGGCACACTGATCCTGGCGGAGGGCAGCCTCCTCCCCACACTAGAAGACCCAGATGTCTGGAGGCTCTGGACGCCCTCTCCCACATGCCCCCTCGCATATCCCACAAAGGGTGAACGTGTGGCTTTTAATGTTAAAGAGAACTTGCAGATCTGTAAGAGGCCTGAGTTCAAATATGTTTTAAAAGCTGTGTGACTGGGCTTCCCTGGTGGCGCAGTGGTTGAGAGTCCGCCTGCCGATGCAGGGGACACGGGTTCGTGCCCCAGTCCGGGAGGATCCCACATGCCGC